GGGTTTCACCATGTTGACCAGGATGGTCTCGATCTCTTGACCTCGTGATCCACCCGCCTCGGCCTCCCAAAGTGCTGGGATTACAGGCTTGAGCCACCGTGCCCGGCCTGTGTTATTAGATTATTAATTGCTACCTGAATAAGCCTCATGTGGAGTTTTTACTTAATAAAGGCAATTTTTCTCTGAATTAGTTTCTCTGAACGAATTGTAAATACAGCCTCATGTGAGGCTAAATTGCTCCCTCTTGTGCCCATAGTCAAGATTTTTCGATTCTTTCTGAAATGTGGAGTTTATGGTTCAGTATTGAACTGAATGTTATATTGTGATGGTTAGAGATTTGCATATCAGATGGTCATTTGGTCTATTTGTCTTTTTTAAGCTGGTAGTGTTTTCTCTTTTCTTACATGTATTTAAATGCCCTAAATTTTTAGTTTTAAATTAAGGGAAAAAAGGCCTTTGACCCTAGGTAATAGGCACATAAATTAAAATGTGAAATAATTTACTAGGTAGTGATATCAGGATGCTTTCTTTACCTTTAATCCTGGGATGATTTTTACAAATTTTATTTTATTTTAAGACAGAGTCTCACTCTGATGCCTAGCCTGGGGTGAAATGATCCCAGCTCACTGCAACCTTCACCTCCTGGGTTCAAACAATCCCCTTGCCTCAGCCTCCCAAGTAGCTGGGACTACAGGCATGTGCCACGACACCCGGCTGCTTTTTGTATTTTTAATAGAGACAGGGTTACACCATGTTGGCCAGGTTGTTCTCGAACACCTGACCCAAGTGAGCCATCTGCCTCAGCCTCCCGAAATGCTAGGATTACAGGCATGAGCCACCGTGCCCTGCCAATTTTTACAAGTTTTAAGTAGACAGCACAAATTTTTAAAAAAAGATACTTAAGGCAACAGGTAGTTTACATCTGTTTTTGTTTGTTTAAATGTCTTAAAAGTAGTATTTTTGGGAGGAGGAAAAAAAGTAGTATTTTCATTTAAAAAGAAGTAAAAGTTCTCCTTACTTGCTCCTTTTTGCTTTCTCCTAAATTCTTGATCTTTCTTTATTTTTTTTTGAGACAGAGTCTCGCTTTGTCACCCAGGCTGGAGTGCAGTGGCATGATCCCGGCTCACTGCAGCCTCAACTTCCCAGGCTCAGGTGATCCTCCCACCTCAGCCTCCTGAGTTCCTGGGCCACAAGCGCACACTACCATGCCTGGCTGATTTTTTGTATTTTTTTTAGAGACGTGGTTTCACCATGTTGCCCAGGCTGGTCTCGAACTCCTTGGCTCAAGCAATCTATCTGCCTTGGCCTTCTAAAGTTCTGGGAGCCACCGTGCCTGGCTCTAAATTCTAAATCTTACCCTAGAGATAATCTTAGTTAACAATTTGGAGTCAATTTTTCCAAACTTTATTCTCTGCATTTATGAATATGTACACACAGAACACAGCTTTAAGTTTAAGTGAAGCTTCAGGAACTTGCTGTTTTGTAACTGTAAACACTGAAGGAGGCCTGAGGGCATCTCAGGAAACTTGAGAAGTAAAGCAATAAGGCTTATCTACCACCTTCTAAGACATTGGCACTGATAATCAAGCCAGTCTTCATAGCCCTGTCTCTGCCTTAATTACTGTAGAGTTCTCTGTCTCCAGTTGTTATATTTTTGACTTTCATGCAGTCTATTCAGTAGGTTGCCAAATTCTGATCCAGGTATTGTCTCATTCTTATGTCTTTCTGCTATAAACGTAGACCTCCTCCTCTATGAGCAGGAAACTCTTTCCTATATTATCAACTTCTTAGAATATTTACCTTCTTGCCTTATCTGAAACTGGGCAGTTTCCTGAGGATACTACCTTCTCTATAACCTTCTTAAGTGATGTGGCAACTTTTTTCCTCATATCTCACATACTTCAGCGCCAGGAAATGGGTGGGTGTTGTTCTTGCTCTCTGTTGCCTCATCCACACTATTTATACTCCCTTCTCCAGCTGAATGCTTTGAGATTCATGTCTCTAACCTTTCCGTTTGATGTAATCACTCTCTCATTCATTGACGATTGGAGTTCTTAGCTTATAACCTTCTTCTTATGCCTTTTGTCTATTACCTCTCTTAGTGATTTTGATACTTATGTGGATGAGTCATCCAAAACCTTAGCCTCTTAGTTCCTTAACCTCTTTGTCTCCTGTGACCATTTCTTAACTCCCCTTTTGCCATAGTCTTGCCTTGATTACAGGCTGGAACCTGATCCTTGCCGTTAATAGAACTATAGCACTTTTGAAATCTTGATGTTAAGCATTCTCTTCTACCCTTTACCCACCGCCAACTATTTTATTCTTCAAGTTTATTGCTATAGACTTACCAAGGCTTCTCATCCATTGATTCCAGAATATCCTGTCTATTCATACTGTCAGTCCTCTCCTAGACTTGAGACTCCATTTTATTGTCAATCATTCAGTTGCTCCTTAGCACATACTCTTGGCTCTTTAGTTTTCTCCTTATCTGGAGTGAAATCTAATTCTTTTTTTTTCTGTGCTGGGAAATGGAATAGGTATTTGCTCTTCAAGGCTTCATCGAGACCATTGCATATTTCCTCTTTTCTGGGACTGATCCTTTCCTTGACCTTGTGCAATTTCAAAGACTTCACATTACTTCAAGTCATAAGAAGTCTCATTTCCATAATTAAAATGTCAAGTCCTATTTAGTACTCCAAACTTCATTTATATCCAAGGTTTATTTGGGCCTGCCTGAGACTTTGGAAGCTTGTAATGGGTTAGTTCTTTTCAGCTTTTTCCTATTGCAAACAATGCTGCAGTGAATATTCTTTGTTTGTTTGTTTGTTTTGAGACAAAGTCTCTCTCTATCACCCAGGCTGGAGTGCAATGACATGATCTTGGCTCACTGCCACCTCCACCTCCTTGGTTCAAGCAATTCTCTGCCTCAGCCTCCCGAGTAGCTGGGATTACAGGCACCCTCCATGACGCCTGGCTAAGTTTTGTATTTTTAGTAGAGATGGGTTTTCACCATCTTGGCCATGCTGGTCTTGAACTCCTGACCTTGTGATCTACCTGCTTCGGCCACCCAAAGTGTTGAGATTACAGGTGTGAGCCACCGCGCCTGGCCTGCAGTGAATATTCTTGTGGATGCAGAATAGTGTAGAAGCTGAGCATTGATGCTTTAAGTTTGAATCTCAGCTCTGCTTTATTAGCTGTGTAACTTTGGGCGAATTACTCAACCTTTCTATTCTTTAGTTTCCTCATTTTCAAAATGAGGATAATAGTGTTTTCTTGATAGTGTGCTATAGGATTAAATGAATGAACACACATAGAACTCTTAGAATAGTACCCAATAAATATTTGTTGTAAATAGATCTTTGTACATATATACAAGTGTCCCTTTTGGATGATTAAGTTTTTAAAATAGTGATTTATATTTGTATTTAATTATTTGTGAATACCAGTAATTATATTGCCCTTTGGTGTAATTTAACTCATTTATCTTTGAGTCTGTTTTTGCTTTTTTTGATATGTTTAAGATCACATGAATCTTTATGATTAATGCTACTGGAATGATCTAATGCTACTGTTTACCACATTTTACACATAGGGACCCCTCTTTTTTATGTGTGTATATTTATGTGGAGGTGATTAAGTATAGTCTGTGAAGACCTAAGATTTTGGCTCCTGATAATATGTAAATAAAATACATATTTCAAGATGTTTTATGACTTAATTAATTATGGTAACAGTAATAATAATGACTGTTTCTAGTGCTTACTAGTTCAAAGCTTAATATTGGTAAGTTCCTCTGAGATCTGTAACACTTAACATCCTGTTTTAATCCTTTATACTTAGCATAGCAATTTCACATATTTTATATCATTATTTTTTCACAGCAACTCTGAAATAGGTAGGCTTGACAGTCCTGTTTCAGTATAACAAATGAGACTAAGGTTAAATGATTTGCTAAGTATTGCTTAGTCAGTAAGCAGGAGAGCCAGACTTGACTATAACTTCCTATTTTAAGTCTATAAAAGAAAACCATAATGAGTGAGTTATATGTTCCAGAACATCAGTAGTTCTCAACGAAGGGTGATTTCACAGCCCCTAGGAGACATTTAACAATGGTTGGAGACATTTTTTGTTTGTCATTACTGGTGAAGGGGAATCCTGCTGGCATCCAGTGGGATAGAGGCCAAAGAGGCTGTTAAACATCCTATAATGCATAGGACAGTCCCTTACAACAAAGAATTGCTAGCCCAAAAAGTCAGGAGTGCAAGGTTGAGAAACTGCTGTGCAGTGGTCATTGACGAAACAGGACAAAGATCGTAAAACTTTACTTGGTAAGATTTTCTCAATAAGCTGCAGATTTACTTCAATTTCTTCACATCTTCTTCTCTTAGATTCAATATATAAAGCTTACCAATATCTTGCATGTAAAATTTGTACTCTAAATCAAGAGAGGTTGAAGACGTGATGGGGTTAAAAATTGGAGTAAATCTGATGCTTAACAGTAAAATCATTTAAAGGAGGACTCCTGTTGAAAGGCCTTAAGTTCATTATTCTTTTCCTCACTAGGTTGTTTCCCAGGGGGAGTGCATTGGGTTTCAGTTGGGAAACAGGACAAATCTGGGCTTCTGATGAAACTACAGAATCTTTGCACACGATTGGATCAGGATGAGAGTTTTTCCCAGAGGCTTCCACTTAATATTGAAGAGGCTAAAGACCGTCTCCGCATTCTGTTGCTTCGCAAACACCCAAGGTACAGATGGTCAAATTTAGTTGGTGTATGAAGTCCCAATAAGACATAACTACTGAACTCTTCAGAACATCGTGCCTTTTCCCTGCTGTCCTGTAGAGAGGATAAGAAAGAACCATGTGGCCAGGCGTGGTGGCTCATGCCAGTAATCCTAGCACTTTGGGAGGTCAAGGTGGGTGGATCACCCAAGGTTAGGAGTTTCAGACCAGCCTGAGTTAACATGGTAAAACCCCATCTCTACTAAAAATACAAAATTAGCCAGGTGTGGTGGCACATGCCTGTAATCCCAGCTACCTGGGAGGCTGGGTCAGGAGAATTGCTTGAACTCGGGAGGCAGAGGTAGCAGTGAGCTGAGATCATGCCATTGTACTCTAGCCTGGGCAACAAGAGTGAAACTCCACTCCATCTCAAAAAAAAAAAAAAAAAAAACCATTGCTTTCCTGCTTTTCTCTCTTATATTTAAAAAGAAAAAAAAAGTGGCTGCCACTTGGCCTAAAATTGCTTTTTCTCTTTGCATCCTACCTACCACATTATCTCATATGTACCACTCTAGGCTTTTAGGAAATGTCTTAAGTAGGTGAGTTGGTGAGTGGTCTTTGCTAGAAAGCGCAGACTTTTTTTTCTTTTTTGGCACTACCTACCTGCCTAGAAAGTGCAGACTACTTCTTACTTTGAATCTATTATTTCTATTGGGTTAACATAGAACAAGAGAGAATAAATGCAGGCAACTGATAAATGTCAGGAAGGGGCCAACGCAGTGGCTCATACCTGTAGTCCCAGCACTTTGGGAGGCGATGGTGGGTAGTTTGCTTGAGCCCAGGAGTTTGAGGCCAGCATGGGCAACCTGATGAAACCCCATCTTACTAAAAAATACAAAACTAGCCTGATGTGGTTGGTATACACTTGTGGCCCCAGGTACTCAGGAGGCTGAGGTGGGAGGATCACTTGACCCTGGGAGATTGGGACTGCAGTGAACCAAGATCGTGCCAGTATATTCCAGCTTGGGTGGCAAAGGAAGATCCTGTTTCAATTAAAAAAAAAAAAAAGAATTTTTAATGGGACCTTTCTATTGGATTGTCTTTTCTTTGTTTATGAGGTGGAGTCTTGCTCTGTTGCCGGGCTGGAGTGTAGTGACATGATCTTGGCTTACTGCAACCTTCACCTCCCAGGTTCAAGTGATTCTCCTGCCTCAGCCTCCCGAGTAGCTGGGACTGCAGGTGTGCACCACGATGCCCTGCTAGTTGTTTTGTATTTTAGTAGAGACGGGGTTTCACCATGTTGGTCAGGATGGTCTCCATCTCCTGACCTCATGATACACCCGCCTTGGCCTCCCAAAGTGCTGAGATTACAGGCATGAATGCGCCTGGCCTGGATTGTCTTAGTTTTTAGAAATATGTACATAACTCCTCTACTTCCATGTGCTTCAGGAGTGAGTTTGTTTTGTTTATTTGGTCAATAGTTAATTAATTCCGCAAACACTTACCATTATAATTATGCACCAGGCACTGCTACCAACTGTTTCATAGTTGTTGTTAGCCAAAAGGGAGACAGCAATTTAGTTACTGCTTGTGTTAAGAGCATAACCTTGGATTCCATCAACAATTTGATTTCTGTCATCTAACAGCCTCTCTTTCATTTGTTCATTTAACCAACATTGAGTGTTGTGCTGGATCTGGGCCAAGTGCTGCAAGTACAAAGATGAATAAAGCATTCCTTAGAAATGTTAAAGTATATTGAGTGAGAGTTAAGTAGTGGCTCTGCACTTTTAAAAAATGCCCTAATGTACCCAAGGATACAGTATACTTTCATATGTAACAGTGACTGAGTATGGCAGTGATTCTCAAATTGGTAAGGATATTAACATCAGAATATAGGGTGAGAAGAGTATTTTTGGGAAAAGCCTACTAGGTGATACTGATGCATACTCATTGTATTATTATGGTCTTTTTTCTCCCTTATTTCTACAGATCATGCTGTCATTTTCTCCTCTCAACACTGATTTACATAGAGAAAATAGGTTTGAGATCACTAACCCTTCCCTCTTTAATTGCTCAATAACTTTTCCCTAGTTCTACTTTCCCTTTTTTGTAAAAATAAAAGTGACTTCTGTTTAGGAAAATAATGCAGCCACCTTTCAGATATATCAGACTTAGCTTATAAGGCCAGACATTTAAAAAAAAAATCTCTCAGTCTCATTTGTTTTATACTTTCACAGTTTTTTAACCTATGTATGTTCTTATTTTTTTGTAATGTACAGCAATAGTGTGTCATTCAGACAAAAATGCTAGTGTGTAATTATGCTATCAGGTTTTAGTTATATTTTTTCCCCTCATCTGTTTTAGTGAGTTTAGAAAAGTTTTTAAAGAGCCCATTTAGGAATTGGCATAGAAGTTCTTAGTTATTATGAATAAACAAATGATTTAAAAAAACCCACTAGTATACCAAATGAAAGGTAATATTCTATTAGGTTGTAACATATGAAATTGCTCATTTTATAGGTAAAAAAATGGCCACATATTATCATTATTGTATGATTCATGCTAATGCTAACTTGAGCTCAGTTCTAGTTTGGTTTTGGTGCTTAAAGAATGAGTTGGAAAATCCCATTACTTGGATAGTAGTGGTCACATATTTTTTTTTTTTTTTTTTTTTT